CTAATCTATCATTGTCCACTGACGACGAGTGTGTGTGTGCGGGAGTGTGTGTGCTCTCGCAATTTGCAAAACTTCACAAACACGCACCGGCACAGCCATCAGCATCTCGAACTTGGCCATTTCCCGCACTGCCCAGTACACTGAGACAAGCCCAAAGCAGGTATTAAAGATAATTAAATATATTTTTAAATGTATTATTTGTTTGGTAATTTTTTATGGCATTTTAAGGGGTGAAATATGACAGCTTTTGAAAGGATTTTAAGACGGGTTTTGGCTTTAAAAGTAATATTTAAAGAGATTTTTTCATGTTAGAGAGTTTTTCCTTGTTTTTAGATTTTTCTTTTCCCTTTTATTGATTTTAAAAAAGATTTTGAAATGGATTCTACTGATGGTTTTTAGATATTTTTGCAAGATTTTTTTCTTGAAGATTTGAAGAGAGTTTTTTATGACTTCAAAAACTTTGGATTGATGCTAGTTGCAAAGATAATTTTCGCGTTTTTTTAAGGGGTTTCTAAATATCTTTCAAGACTGTTTTTGGGCGGGTTTTGATCATAGGTAGTTCCTGATTTTCTCTGTATTTTCTTATTATAAGTCTTAAAAATATAAAAAACATTCAAAACTTATAATACCTTGATCCCTAGACCCAAATTAATTCCATAAATATTTTAATTCTATTCAAATTCCCATTACAACTATGTACTATTTTCTCCAAGTTTTTCGTTTTTGCCTCCTTAAACCAGTTGAGAAATCTAAATTTATCTGCAACAAATTTCGGTGCTCTTTTCGTTTTCGGACACACGGAGGATGGATGCAAGAAAGGACCAAGAAGGCACGCCAACTATGCATAAGAAGAGATTTCTGGGGGTAGTCCGTCCGTCCAGGGTTGGCAAAAGCAATTCGGGAGAGGCGTGCCTGGGCGAGATTGCATCTTGGGAAAACATTTCCTTGCAGGCACCACCATTCCCATTATGAGAGAGGCAAAGTGAAAAAGTTTTCAAGTAATGGAACTTTTCATTCATTTTCCAGCTCCTTGGCTTGGGATGTGTGACGACGACATCCGGGACAGGGCAAAACACCTCCACGAGATCATTGCCATTACAAGCAGGCGGAAAATCAGAATCAGAATCGGGGAATTAGCCGCAACATGGAGGGTTCTGCCCCTGGAATTATCCGGTGGTCACCTGACCTGCCACTGCCCACCACATGATGCATTGTCCGCTGATGGTTTATTATTTCAGGAGGCGTGGCGGAGGGAATGGTAGGGATTTCTTTCTTCTTTTCCCTTTTTTTTTGTGGCAAAGCAAACATGTTACATTTATCTTGCCGGGGATAAAGCAGGCACAAAAAATGAACAAAGGACGAGGCAAAAAGGAGCCTGTAAAGCGAGGAAGTCGACCTGAGAGTTACCTAGGAAAATGACTACTATATGCCTAAAGCTAAAGCAAAGCTAAGTCTTTGGTATGATTCCCAGCCAACAAAGGCTTTCTTTTTGTTAATAAAATCCCCCTTTTTTAGCTGCCGAAAATGCTCTCTAAACCCTTCGATTTAAGGGGCATCTCCAAAGGCAATAACTGAGATACGAATGCGAGGAGAACGAACAGCAACAACAAAAGCCCGGGATGAATGGCTGCCAGGCCTCTGGCAGGTCAAGTCCCCGCCAGGCCAAAGCCAAAGATAATGGCAGCTACATGGACATACTACCATTCCAGCAACCATCCACCTGGTCCGCAGTGCCCCGAATTAATCCCCAGCGTACACTTTGGCCTTTCCGGCGGCGCAGCTGGAAGGGAGTGGGTTCTCCGATTTTAATTGAATAACTACACGAACGAGTGTTATGTTGTGTTGATGATAAGGCGATAAGATATGGCAGCGATCCCCTGGGAGAGTCGGCTTACCGTAGGAGTCGGAGGTGGAGTGGAGGAGGAGTGGAGGAATCGAGTCCTTCCTTGCCCGCTCGAAATGGAATAAAATAATGTAAAAAATTGGTTTCGTTTATCTGCCGTCGGTTCTGCCATTGTCACCTCTTTTTGTAAGCTGTCTAGAGATGACAGAATGTATCGATACTAAATATATATTTTATATAGTTTGCTAATTTTTTTTAAATTTTTACATTCATTAAACATTAAACCCTTTAATATTTTCTATTGAACGCAATAGTTAATGCAATATATAAAATCTTACCCTTCCCCTCTATATTTATGTGTACATCCCTAGTGTTGTCCTAGTTGTCAGCTGCTACTGCTGCCCCCTCCTCTGGCTCTTTTCACTCCCTGCGTGTTGATGGTTTTTCCCGGGGAAAAAAGCCTGCTTAAGCCTCACATTTACATACGATCTGCATAGGGATAGGGGTTCAGGATTCGGGCCTTGGAAATGTTTATGGGAACCCGCTCATAACCACAGATTGCCACTTGATTTGGCTTGACTTTTTTGCCTTACTCCACCCAATAGTTCGCACAGAGAGAGAAAAAACCAAGTCACAGATAAGGTAAATACCAAGAATTGATGACACGTTTGCTGGTGGTGATGTGTTTTTCTGTCTGTGACTTTTCTTTCTACTTTGACAGACAGCCAAGAGGATGGAGGAGGAATGCAAAAGCGAATCACGGATCTGCGGAATCTGTGACAGGCGATATCTTATCCATTATGCAAATATTGTCAGGCGAAACAAATCCTCGCAATGATTGGCGTTGGTCTTCTGTCGGGAAATCCTGACATCCTGTTGCTAATCCTGTCATGAGACGTGGGAGATTTCAGGGAAGTGGTACTGGGAGAGCCCAGGACCTCTTTAATCTGTAAGTAATCAAGGAAGCTGAACACTCTCTGATGCTCTCCAGCTGTAATCACTTAGTTTGCAATTAAACTTTTCGTCAAAAGCTTAATTATTTCCTTCAAAAAGGTAGTTTCAATTTTAAATGTTTTCAGTTTTCTGTTTAATTTGAAAACAAATAACTATTCTGTCTGGGAAATCCTCGGAAATAGTTTCATTTAAACGTTGCCCGGCGTCCTGACTTTAGTATTTATTTGCCAACTGTTTGTTGTTTGTCTCAGCTCTCTCTCTTAGCTTTTGTTTTTAAATGCGCGACAAAAACTTTTATGATAAGCGGGGAATCCCCAGGGCCCGCTTTCCCCATCAGGAATTAGCGTCCATTAATTAGCTGGCTCTGCGGGATTGACGTTAAGTTTCCACGCCAGCCATGGGGGTCAATCTTGGGGTTGGCTGAGGGAAGGCTGTCTGAAGCTGAGCAGCCCCTGCAGATAATTACCGCAGCATGTCAAAGTTTTGAGCTGCTCCTGCTCCTGCTCCTCCTCCTCACCTGGCAGGCGGCAGAGAGGTGAGTGACGAGCTGGCAGTCACTCCGGGGCTGAGCATTAATTTATCTTGGCTGGGAGAGCCAAGGTAGGTAGTCGGAGACCCCACCTTCTGACCTCCTCCTGCCAGCCAATGCTTTAATAGATCATTTGCTGCATCATTGCGCATACGCCGCGTGTGACGCTGTGATGCTTCTTCAGTTGAGCTCCAGCTAATCCTTCTGTTCTGTGTCTGTGGTTGGTGCTCCTCTTCCTCCTGCTCCTCCTTTGTCTGGGCTGCGACTTCTGCCCGCCGGCTGTCACGTCCTTCTCTCCCCGTTTTTTTTTTTTTGAGATATATCACTGTCTCAGTGCCCGGAATGCGACGCGAGTCTCCATTAAATGTGGCCCACCGCCGGCAGCAGCCAGTGAAGCCACTGAATACCAGCGAAATCCGTGGCCTCGCTTCGAAAAAAAGCCACAAAAAAATATAGAGTTTAAACTGTGCTGGGGCGCTGCTGTCTGCTCTATAGTTTTGTGACTATAATTCTATTATGGCTGTAAAGCAGTTTTATAACGGAACTACAGCGGGACTCCTCCCTGTGGCCTCCACTGTGAGCGGTTTGCCGAAAACTTAAATTGAAAGAATAAAATAAAATTCAATTTCAAACTTAAAGCTTAAAGCACTCGCAAGTGGGTAGGAGGAGTTTTCGAAGAGATTTTATCGGGGATTTTCAAGCGGATTATTTGCGATTTAGTGCTTATATTTTGAGTTATATGGGGGATTTTAAAGAGGAGAATCAACTAGGAATTACTTAATTTCCTTAAATTTAATATTATATATTGAATTGTGTAAGATAAATATTTAAGAAAGGTGGCAACTTGAGTGAGAGTATTAGAATTTACAAGTGTGAAGTTACCTTTAGCTTTTAAAGTTTTTTTTATATTATTTTATTTTAGTTTTGTGTAATCAATACTTAAGTTTTTCTCATAAATACTTAGGTGATAATATATTTTATATTTCTAATTGGTTTATATTATACATTTTTTTATATTTTTTCTATGAATTTTATAATAATTCTGGTAATATATAAATGTAATCCTAAAAATAAAAGTCACAGAATTTTTCCTGTAGTTGGTGGCTTAAACCTGGTCCTGTCTATCTAGTGACCCGGTCTGCGCTCCTGCTTGCCCTGCTCTTTGGTCCACCGCATCCTGGCTGCCCGTATCCTGGCCTTTACATCCTACTGCTGCCCCTGTCCGCTGATTCGTTTAGCTTTCGCTTTCACATCTGCTGGCTGCCATTTCGCTTTTCGCATTTTCATTTTCATTTTTATTTTTATGCTTTGGACGACCAGCTGCCCTTGCCCTCCAGTTACTGCTGCTTTTCCTGCCACCCCCATTCACCCCCTTCTAACCCTCCCACTCCCTCTCCCACCCCGACAGACTGTCGTCGTAGCTGTCATCATCAAATTACGCCCGGGCTTTTGTGGCTTGGGTTTTGTTTTGGGTTTCGCTTTCAGCTTGGCAGCGGCTGCCGTAAAGCCAAATTTAATTTACAGCTCTTGCTCTCTCTTCCGCTGATCGCTCTCTTTTTGTGCACTGATATGTGCCCTGCTCTTTGGCAGAGAGTGGCTACCGCCGTGGCTCTCTGATAAATCACGCATACGCCGCATAGGCCGCGTCGATCGCCACAGCCAGTCGCTAACGAATCGCGCGCGTAAACCCACCGCCAGCGAATCGCAGCGGAAGACCAGCGCCTGAATGGAATATAACCCGAGCTGGGACACAAGGCTTACTTAACAGAGGCAGGAGTTGGACGACTTGGAACATGGCCAAGGCTATGATGACCGACCGGGAGCGCGAGGCGATCGTCAGCAATCTGACCAGGGATGTCCTTTCGCTCAAGGAGATGGTGCGCAGCAGGGAGAGCGAGCTGGTCAAGCTGCACCGGGAGATACACAAGCTGAAGGTGAGGGGTTGCTCCATAACTACATTACTCCATGGTCTAGTGGGAGTGGGTACCATCCATCCATTCATTGATCCAAAAACCGTTTTTTTTTGGGGGAAACCCTGGCTGGCTGGTTTCTGGCCCATCCATCGCTGTCTATGGCATCGCCTTGTTTGCTCCGGCAGCGGTGATAAGCAGGAGCCATTGCCACCACCGAACACTCTAGCTTCTATTATTTTTCGGACTAATTTCGAATTCGCTTTGTGTATCGCAGAGATACAAAAGTATCTGCAAACACAGACACGCCGCCCTCGGCTATCGTTATCTCAGACGCTGCCCAGATATCAGATACACCCCGCGGAACCCCTGGTTGTGCCCACTCCTAACCCGTGCCCTTGCCGCGGTATCTGTATCTGTGAGATATCCGTATCTATCTAACGCTCTGCTCTCTAGGCCCAGGCATTCGTACTTGGATCTCCCTCCCGCTGCCTCCTCCTCCACTCGACTTGTATTTAAATTGTAAGACAGATTTATTGAGCCAAGTGATTAGCACTTCTGGGCGAGATCTCGTAGTCAGTTTTTATAGCCCGCGAGAGCGAGCGAGTCTCGCAGCTGAGAGATACTTTCCGTGTAAATTGAGGGGCTTTCGGTAGCCGAAAAATCATTTAATTTCAATTATCCCATTAATTGGGGGGTTGTAAAAAGATAAAGCTGCGGTTTTTCAGCTAGAGAGGTCTACTCTTTGCTGAGATAATGATTTCTAGGTCGTATAAATCATAAAAGTTTTGTTGTTTATAATCACAATATCATTATAAATTGAAGAAGCTTTGGAATCTTAACTGAAAAGAAGGTGCTGTATGTGGGGAGGTCTAGAAGGATTAGAAAGAGATATAAAGACTTGGAGATACTTTAAGAAATCTATAGAGAACACAGATATTTAGAGAGAATATACAGAGACCTAGGTCTAGAGATATCTTAACACATACCTTGACAGACAAAGATATATAAAAACTTATAGATACAAATATCTCGAGATATCTAGACAGACTTTGGGGGGACTGGGATAAATTTATAGACATCTAGAGAGGAGCAAGAAGACCTAGAGGAAACAAGAGAGATGTAGACTTAAGACGACATCTCGTAACCTCTTGAAGGCTTCTACAGAAATCTAGAGAGATCTAGACAGACTTAAAGAGGTTCAGAGAGATCTACAAGCCTCTTGTAACCTCTGTCTTGGTGGAAATTTCCCTCAGAGAGCTATTTTTACAGAAGCTGTAAAACTGTGCATCGCTAATTGCCGAATCACCTCCACCTCATTCCCTTCTCGCCCCTATTCTCTGCTCCAAAACCCCTTTGTGGCTCTGAGATACAAACATAGATAGTTCCGACCCCGGGCAGCACGCGCGCGCATCTTGAAAAACAGAGATCCCAGAGATGCGATCCCCAAAAAGTGTTTTTTCGATGCTAATTTCTATGCAAATAATTTGGAAAACAAGCAAAGCCCGGTTAGGGGATACCAGAGACGAGGGCGAGAGGTGGTAACACCTCGCCCTGACATTCGGCTTATCTTTGTTTACCCTCGACGGAAAGTGGAGGTGGAGTAGGAGGTGGAGCTGGCAGTGGAACTGGAACTGGGGCTATGACTAGCTCTACTTACATACTGGGGGAGAGGCGCCTCGAAAGCGGTCTTGGCTTTGTTTAGGCTTTATCTATGCTGTTTTTTGGGTCAACGCCGGGTAAAAAAAATGGGAGAATTTAGCATTCTATTTGCGGATTTGTGATAAGAAAATCGAGGGGAAGGTCTACACTGAAATTAAAATTTTTAATTTAAACAACAATAAAGATAACATGTCTTAGGGGGTTACAAATAATTTTTAGAAAATTATACAGGTTTTCGGAATTATTGAAACATTTACCAAGAACCATTTCCCACATTCTCCTCATCTTGAAATCTTTCCCTGCCTGTGCCCGCAGTGGGTCATCTTCATCTTCCCCTAATTGAGTTGGACTCGCGCTTGGCGGTGTGACTGGGGAGTCACGCGATGACGACGATCTGGCTATTAATTGCCTGTCAATTGGGAATCTCTCGCGGGGAATTGATTAAGCGACGCGCTTCCATCTCTGACCCTCTGATTCTTCCCCACAGAGCGTGCTCCAGCAGACCACTAACCATTTAAACGTGACCCGGCAGCAGTCTAAGAGCAAGCTCTACTCGCTGCCAGAGCAGTGTGGCGAGCAGGAGCAAGGCAGGGATCCCCATGTCTGTGGCTCCTGCGGCATGGTGCTGCCCTCCAGTCCGGCCTTTGCCATGGAGGCGCTCTCTTTGAGTCCGCTGCCCTCTTCTTCCTCCGTTGCAACGACTTCTTCGTCCCCAACAGAAGCTGCTGCTCCAGTGGAAGCTCCAGCGGCGGATTTAAAACCCAAGGCTATGCCTGCAGCCATAAAGAAGCAGGGTGTCTCCGCCGAGAGCTGTGTGCAGTCCATGCAGCAGTCCTACAGCATACCCATACCCAAGTACGACAAGGATTTCAGGTGGGTTTCCAGTTCGTTTTAAGCGACTCCAGAGCTCCCTTAATCCCTGTTCTCTCCCAGCGACAAGCAACAGATCAAGGACGCCATTATGGACAACGATTTCCTTAAGAACATCGATGCCTCGCAGGTTCGGGAACTGGTGGATTCCATGTACTCCAAAAGCATTGCCGCCGGCGAGTTTGTGATCCGCGAGGGTGAGGTGGGCGCCCATCTGTACGTCTCCGCCGCTGGGGAGTTCGCCGTAATGCAGCAGGGCAAGGTGCTGGACAAGATGGGGCCGGGCAAGGCCTTCGGAGAGCTGGCCATCCTGTACAACTGCACCAGGACGGCGTCCATAAGGGTCCTCAGCGAGGCGGCACGCGTGTGGGTACTCGATCGTCGGGTCTTCCAGCAGATCATGATGTGCACGGGCCTGCAGCGGATCGAGAACAGTGTTAACTTCCTGCGCTCAGTGCCGCTGCTGAGGAACCTCAGCGAGGAGCTGCTGGCCAAGATAGCGGATGTCCTGGAACTGGAGTTCTATGCCGCCGGCACCTACATCATCCGCCAGGGCACTGCCGGCGACAGCTTCTTCCTGATCTCGCAGGGCAATGTAAGGGTGACCCAGAAGCTGACGCCTTCGTCCGCCGAGGAGACGGAGCTGAGGACCCTGGCCCGGGGAGATTACTTCGGCGAACAGGCGCTGATCAACGAGGACAAGCGGACGGCCAATATTATTGCCCTGCCGCCGGGCGTGGAGTGCCTCACCCTGGACAGAGACTCCTTCAAGCGTCTCATTGGGGATCTCTGCGAGCTCAAGGAGAAGGACTATGGCGATGAGAGCCGCATGCTGGCCATGAAGCAGGCCCGGCACAGCCCAGACGGGGAGGAGGCAAAGGAGCAGCAGCAGCTGCAGCAGGAGTTCCCCGACCTCAAGCTCACGGATCTCGAGGTTGTCAGCACCCTGGGCATCGGTGGCTTCGGCCGGGTGGAGCTGGTCAAGGCCCACCATCAGAACAGGATCGATATCTTCGCCTTGAAGTGCCTGAAGAAGCGGCACATCGTGGACACCAAGCAGGAGGAGCACATTTTCAGCGAACGCCACATCATGCTCAGCTCGCAGTCGCCGTTCATCTGTCGGCTGTACCGCACCTTCCGGGACGAGAAGTACGTCTACATGCTGCTAGAGGCCTGCATGGGTGGGGAGATCTGGACAATGCTCCGCGACCGCGGCTCCTTCGAGGACAATGCCGCCCAGTTCATCATTGGCTGCGTGCTGCAGGCCTTTGAGTACCTGCATGCCCGAGGCATCATCTATAGGGATCTGAAGCCCGAGAACCTGATGCTGGACGAGCGTGGCTACGTCAAGATCGTGGACTTTGGCTTCGCCAAGCAGATAGGAACCAGTGCTAAGACGTGGACCTTCTGCGGCACGCCGGAGTACGTGGCCCCGGAGATTATCCTCAACAAGGGCCACGACCGGGCTGTGGACTACTGGGCCCTGGGAATCCTCATCCACGAGCTGCTCAACGGCACGTAAGTAGTTTTGGTGGTAAAGGGGAAGAGAGTGTTAACATTAATTATTCCTTTTCTGCAGTCCCCCTTTTAGTGCCCCCGATCCCATGCAGACGTACAACCTCATTCTCAAGGGCATCGACATGATTAACTTTCCCAAGCAAATGTCCCGCTGGGCGGTGCAGCTTATCAAGCGCCTTTGCCGCGATGTGCCCTCAGAGAGGCTCGGCTACCAGACGGGCGGCATTCAGGACATTAAGAAACACAAGTGGGTATCTTCTTTGAGGGTTACAGGTTACGGAAAATGTAGATATATTTATAGAGTATGAATCGATATTAATTTTATGCTTCCCTCTTCTCCTCAGATGGTTCCTGGGCTTCGACTGGGACGGCCTGACCAGTCAGTTGCTGATACCGCCCTTTGTGCGACCCATTGCCCATCCGACGGATGTGCGGTACTTTGACCGCTTCCCCTGCGATCCCAACGAGCCGCCGGACGAGCTCTCCGGTTGGGATGCCGACTTCTAAGAGCCTACTAGCCTTACCCTAGACCTAGCCACGTTTTCGTTACATTTATTAGCTTTTTTCGGAGAAGGAGGAAAAAACCACATACCAGAAGGCCATCTCAATAAACACACCCTACAAATTCATCTTTGAATCCAGAAACTGGGCCCCCTGGGCCCCCAACAGCTGGCACATCTGCGAGATGCGTCCAAAGAGCGGGGCATAGGTCTTGGCACTGTCGGGATCCGGCTCCGCCGCCAGAGTCAACCCGGAGGGAACGTTGCGGAAGAACTCGTGAAAGCTTAGCTTTGGCTCCCGGCAGCCTCTGCGCCGGCAGGCGCGGCAGTTGCAGGGCCTCTCCCGGTGCTCATAGAAGGCATAGCGAGCCCGGAAGGCGCTGCCCAGCAGGCAGACCTCGGGCCCGGACCGCTTGTAGACGGGCGTGTTGAAGACATCGGCCACGATCTGCAGCAGATTGTGGTATTTGGCGTCGTTGCCCACCACAATCACCTTGGTGTTTGGGTCCGGGCCGAAGCCCATCTCCCGGGAAATGGCGCAGTGGTGGATTATCTGGCCCTCGAGGAGGGCTCGCACCTCCATTTCCGGCGTCTCGAAGCTCGGTACGCCCCGCAGGCACTCCTGTTGCTGATTGTCCATGGTGGGGTCCCAGCGCAGGACGCCTTTGGATATGGGCAGGATTTCGCGGTCGTAGAAGTGGACGGCCAAGTTGCCGCCGTTGCCCTTGGGCGTGGCATCCAGCATTGCGTAGAACTGGTCAAAGTTGCCCTTGGCCACCTCCTCGCAGATGATGGTGCGGGCCACCAAACCGTTTCGGAAACAGAGCAGGCCCATAAACTGATCCGGCCGAGTGGCGTGCCGCATCACATGGCCCTCCTCCAGATGCGGGGCCTTGGTGAGGGGCATTGTAATCGTGTCGCTGACGTCCAGCGAGATCACAATGAAGTCCTTCTCAACCAGCACTCCGGCCAGCTCGGCGCCCTTGCTTCCGGTGCCGGAGAGGACCATGCAGTCGGGCCTAAAGTTCCAGCGCTTCACGTAGTAGTCCGCAATGTGTCCCTGGAGCTGCGACGAGGCGACCGGCTTTCTTAGGCGCCTGGCCAAGTCGGGGGCACAGGCGTCCAGGCACTTTTGTGACCACTTGTTCTGCCCCAAGTCCAAGAGGTTCATTCCCGAAGCATCGCAGACGCTGATGGCGGCCATGCCGCCAATGAGCAGCGAGGTCACGAAACTGCTAAGCAGCGAGATCCGCGGCGTGCGCTCGTAGTGCTCCGGGCACTGCTTAAACACCTTTCGGATCTGGGGACCCGTGAAGCGGGCATAAGTCCGGGAGCCGGTGATGGCCGCCATCTCCAAGGAGCCCCCCACCGCTTGCGTCATCTCGAGCACCTCCTTGTCGGTGGAGGTGTCACGCCAGGTGGGCGAGCGGATTAGCTCAAAGGCGCTCTCCGGCAGCTGCTCGTGGAGGCGAAGGTGCGGATTCAGGTTGCACAGCCTGCGCAGCCCCAGGTCCGACCAGAAGACACAGCCATGGTGCTGGCCAGCCGCCGATACCGCGACTATCGAATGCATATCCGCGCCCTGGGACTCCAGGCTGTTCAGTAGCATGTCCAACGCCTTCACCCACATCACGGGGCAGGCGAGGAACTCCATGGGGCCGCCGTCCGTCACGGTACCATATTTGGTGCCATACTCGGGCAAGTCCACGTCGTAGCGCACCTGGGAAAAGTAGATTGCCTTCAGGTTGGCATCGAGTATCAAGGCGCGGAATTTATCAGTGCCCAGGTGTAGGCCAAGGTAGGTGTTGCCACTGTAATCCGGGCTCCGGCGGTGGCACATTTTGTTGGAGTTGAGAAAAAGTCGGCGGGTAAACGAAAAATTTTGTGATTTTTTTTGTTTAATTTTTAGAAATTATTTTTCATAGAATTTTGAAGCAGAAAAGTCGAAGCCTTCATGGGGTTAAATAGCATTTAACTCATTCTATTAATTTTTTTAATTATTTTGATTTTAGAACCCTCTGTATATTATCAATCTTCCAGCCAACTTTTCATTCAATTAAAATTCTCAAAGCAGACCAAAAGTATGCCCCATTTAAAACCATCTTGTTTCCAGCCCAAAAGCCTCTGTTTAAATATTATTTCCAATCAAATACATCTAAAAACTAAAATTTAAAAGCATTTTCCCAGCAACTTCTCTTCCCTACGGCTGCGTCTGGCCAATCCGCCGCTGCTCGGTGATCTTGAACTGGAGCAGCACCACCAGGTAGGTGGCCATGAAGGAGATGTTGGTGGTGATGAGCTCCCGATTGATGTTGGCATAGCCATCGAGGTTCATGATGGGCGGGTTCTTGTTAATGGCCACTAGCAGCATCTCCACCTCCTTCTGGGTGGCTGCATCCACCGCCGTGAGATTGATGTTGAGCAGCTTGGTCTGGAAGTCGAGTCCGACCTTCCGCGAGGCGTAGTGAGCCTCGTTGCAGATGATGTACAGCAGACCCATGCAGTAGAAGACGATGACGAAGAGGCCCACCTCCTTGTAGGTGGCCCCGTGGTCAATGATCTCGCTGATGCTACCGTAGGTGGCGATGATCGTGGTGAAGAAGATGACCAGGCAGTACATGCCGTACATGTTGGAGTAGGCGCGTCCCAGCTGCTGCATCATGTGGCTGAGGTCCACCCAGAGGTGGCGGTACTCGGTCAGTTTCTGGGCAGGCTTCTCGCCCCGAATGGTGGTCTGCAGGGCGTCGGAGAGGGCGCGGCTGGCGGTGCCAAAGGCATTACAATTGATGTACCTATAGGCGGATCAGATGCAAGGTAAGGCAATCCACAAGACAATCGTTCCGCAACTCACCACAGGCTGCAGAAGCAGTTCAGCATGGCAATGATGGGGTAGTAGGCGAAGGTGTACCACAGCCGGAAGTCCGGCTGCAGGAAGTACTGCGAGAGATTGATGGCGATGCTCAGCAGCCAGGAGAAGACGCACAGCGTCCAGGTTAGCGGGTACAGGTTAGGAAACACTATCGGAGAGCCGGTGGTCTTGAAGAACTTGTACTGATAGTTCGTCCACATGTTCTTGAAGATGGCCACCTGGGGTCCATGCCGCCAGCTGGCCACCGGTAACAGAAAGTTCGTAAAGAGCAGACTGATGAAGATCACATTGTAGATGGCCTCGTCAAAGCGCTTGTCCGGACTGGTCACAAACTTCTTTACCCGCTCCCGCAGCACCAGGACCACAATGGTGGTCTGGCAGGTGTAGATAAAGACGGCCCACATCACCTGCTTGGAGGTCCACGAGTAGCCAGTCCGGGGCAGATCCTTGACCGGCGGATTGCGGTGTATGGGCATCACGCCCATGATCTGGAAGAGCACCAGCAGGCTCTTGGTGGTCTGATAGAACGAGTCGTGCTTGTCCAGCTCCAGGGGATCGTCGACAGTCTCCTGCTTGCGCACATACACCTCCTCCATGGCATCGCCGCGAGCCATAAGCTTCAGCTTCTCGCGGTAGCGCACCTCGTCCTCCAGGAACTGGCGCTGGTTGGGATTCAGCATGGGCACCACCTTTGAAGGTGGCGTCAGGCCGCGACTCACTGCCCAGAATGACATGTTAGCAGGATCCTAAAGCCGACAGACACGGCAGCTTTTATACTCCTCCGGTGAATGTGAATGGCGGAAAGTCCTTGCTATTGACTTTCGATTGAAAGACAAACAATGAAAGGGACACGCCCGGAGGCGGGGCCCCTTTTGCTTGTCCGTCCATTAAATATGCTCAAGACCGGGCACGAGCCTAGGTTGAGCCGGGTTCCTCAACAGTGAGAGAAATAATCTTGTTTTTAAATTACTTAAATAAATTAATTACTCAGACAATTAAATAGTTAAATATCGATACAAAATCGATATATTATATTAGGACTTTCTCTCATTTGTCTAAATTAAATGCTTTAATTATTTTAGAAAAACTCAAAAGTTCTTTGGCACCTTCTTCCAGTGTACATTTGTTGTGGTCATTCTGCTGACACCGACGACCATCGGGTGGTGACCTAGTCAGCGCTCAGGGTGGCCAGCAAGGACAAGAAGCAGGGAAGCAGGGAGCAGGAGAGGACAAGGGCCAGTCTGAGGGCAACCGAACTGAGAGAAGGTACATAAAATGCGCTTAATTTGCCGGAAATGAAAGTTTAACGATGTGTAAATGCTTACGAATGCCGATAGAGGCTCGCACTAATGACCAATAAAAATGTGCCACCAACGGGTCCGAGTCCGTATCCGTGTCCGTGCTTGGGTCTTCGTCTCCGTCTGGGTCTGTGCCTTTATGCCTTTGTCCCGAACTCCTCGTCATGTGAGTTGGCTCCCTGACTTTTGATCTATTTCTGCCTCACATATTAAAGGACCAAATCCAAGCCCAAACCCGGCAGCATCAATGGCGCTAAGGAGCTTAAAGTTAGTCGAGAGAAGTCGCGAGTGAAGCGGAAATCCATGGCAATGGCAGCTCCTGCTGGACCTGCTCCAACTTCCTGCTCCTTGGGGATAAGCCAAGTTGGTGGAGCAACAAATCTCCCCCAGGAGAATGTCGGGAATGTGTGGAGAAACAACTGTTGCCCGGGACCCTCGCTCTCTTCTCCACATTATATTTAAAGCGGGGTTTTTCCTAGGCTTTTCCTGAGTTTTTTCTCTCTGCTTTTTTGGCAGCGAAAACTCATTTTCAGTTGCACATAGTTTGCCGCTCGTTTAATGCGAAAACTTTCAAGACAAACGGCGCAGGCGAACTGCATAAATAAAGTGTTTAGCTGGCTTTTTTTTATCCCAGTGACATAATTGCTGGGAGAAGAGCCAGCGGAATGCCTCTCCTAGCTGACACAGCTACAGCCTTTGATGGGGTTTAAAGAAGTGCAACGGCAAGCAGGGATTTGCGAGGGGAAATGGAGGCGGAGGAGGAGCCTCATTTTCAGAACGTGTGTCGACATTCCCCCTTCGACTGTCACATCTCATGGCCGCCGGGCTGTCAGCCACCACAGCGGCCTTGGAGAACAAGTTACATTTCGATTTGGAATCCCTTGGTTTAGCCTCGGGCTTCTTGCTTGCATCCATCACTGAAAGAAATGCCAGTCCATTTGGGGTGGGAATTATAGAAAGGAAACTAGCTTCTAAGCCCAAAACTTTTCTCTTCCTGTAACTTTTTGTGTCTGTGTGAAAATGTGAAAAAGATTTACTTCTTGCAGGAATGAAAAGGAACTTTTATTAATATCCAGGGAACGGCGGAGAACAAGCCAAAATGGATTTTAGATTGGCTTCGAGCTGTGTTACATCTCTCAAGCCGAGGAGGAGTCCTCGGTGGCGGCCTCGGTGGTGCTGGTGGTGGCTTCCGTGGTGCTTGTAGTGGTAGTGGTGCTGTTGCAGGGCAGGGTTCCATTTGGCGGCAGACCCCATGGGCCGCCAGGTCCACCCTGAGGACCTCCTGGGCCTCCTGGGCCTCCTTGGCCTCCTGGGCCACCCTGAGGTCTTCCTTGCTGTCCTCCTTGGGGTCCTCTCTGCTGTCCACCTCGACCACCTCGGCCACCACGGCCTTGAGCGGCTGCCATCACGATCAGGAGGGCAAAGAGGGCCACGAAGATGAAGGAGCGCATGTTGCTGGGCTTGGGTTTGCTGGCTTGGTCTGTTTGGGAACTGAGGAGCTGGAGCTGTGATGTCTCATTGCTGCCGCCACAACCCTTTTATACTGTCAGCTTTCCCCGGCAAACAGCTGCCGCTCGTTGCTGGGTAAACCCCAAACCCACCAGCTCGCTCGTGTTCTTTCTTGGTCTTCAAATGCTTTCCGTTCACCAAACTCCCAAAGAAAAGCCCATTCATCTGGCGTTCATCTGCGTCACAGAGCAGCTGCTCTTGATTCGTTTGCGTTATTTGTCTATTTGTCACCCCCTTCGGGAGGGGCGTAGAATAGAATATAGCTAATGGCCTTGTCTGTCGTCTGATTCGATTCGATTTTCGGGTGGGAGGGTGATGGGTTTTTGCGGGCTATTCATCAGGGCGAGCAGCCAGAGCGGATGCAATTTATGAGTCCTTCGCTGCAGGACCAATATTTATGTGTAAATGTTAATTTAATTTGGTTTGCTTTGGTCACTGAAAATGGCAAGCTCAAATGCGTAATGGAAACATATGAAAAGTGGATGCACTTAAAGAAATGTGGGATTTTAAAGGGTTTAAAAATTATTGATAATTATTTATTTAATTATTAATAATTATTCCTGTTTAATAAAATATGTAAAAATAAAATAAATACATATTAAAATGGGAAAAAAAGAAAGTTCGCTAATTTCAGGCAACGTAATTAAAATGGATTACTTTAACTTTTCTTTATCTCAAATTTATAAGCCATTTATCTCTCTTGTGCTTGTTCATTACAGCCAAAGCCAGCTCTTCGGAGTTCTTTAAAAAGTTAAAAAGTATATATAATCTACCTTGAATACAACTACCAATAACGATCAACTTTGCTAAGTTTAGAAAGAGTTTGTTTTAGAAAATTAAGCTCCTTCCTTTTATTCACCTTATTTCCCTTAGAAATCTCTACATTTTCCTCGCTGTGTATCCCTCCGATTTGCACTCTGGCTAAATGCAATTAAATATTAATCATACGCACTGTGTGCGGCCGGCCAGCAGCACCAGCATATATAGCCTACATATGTCGATATGTCCGTTGTCCATTGCCCGTTACTGTAGCCATGGAGCTACACCAGAGCATCCACAAATTAGCAAATTGGACATAAATTGACTAATTAGTGCTAAAAGCAAGCGAATCTACCCTCAATGTTTGCTCTGGCCACACTGCCAGCTAGAGCCCACTCCAAACATGGCCACACTCTCTGCCTTGCCCTGTGGATGATTCAATGCGAGAGGAAAAGTGTAAATGGGGGAAAATATGGCAAACTAATTTCCTTTTATTGTGGGGGCAAGTGCTTCCCTTTCCTCTCTCTCTCTCTCCCTCTCCCTTTTTAGCGCAAATTAAAATGCAAATTTTCATTTTGCATTGGAAATTTATCGCTATAATGAGCGACGCTGCAATTGCAATTAAAAGAGAAAAAATAAAACTGAACAACTATGGAATGCTTGCAATAATCCATGGACCAATGCGTTTAGAAGATCTTCAAAATTTTAATTAAAAAAGCTTGGCATATTTTTCCCCACACACACAATTGATTTTTCAAACGCTTGCACTTCAAGGTGGTGGTGTTGGGCGGCAAGTCCTGCGACAATAGTCCCTTTTGCCACTTACTCCAGATCCCCCGAAATGCTGGGGCTCCGTAATTGAAGAGTACACAAGCCCAGGGCCTAGTGCATCAATTAGCAAAGCAAACGCAGCCACTCAGCCGGCAAAGACAAAACGCAAACCACTCGCAGGACCAACCAGGACCCAGAGCGATTGCTGCTGGGATGCATTTTATTAGTTGGCGGCGCTCAACCGAGTTTTATCTCTCGGCAAACAGTTGGCAAAAGCGTCGCAAGTGCCGCACAAAAGACACAAAGAGGCGGCGAGCTATTGTCCTCGAATGGAATGCCCTCCTCACTCCTCCCATTGCCATGCAAATGCGAATGGCATTAAAGGATTTGCCTCGTTCTTGGTCCTTCCATTTGTTAGTATCGCCATCGCCATCGCCATTGCCGGCTTTTATTGACTTTGCGCATTTAACTTTTAATTTTCACCAATGTTCAAGTGGGTAAAGTGGGGTGAGGGAAATAGCAAAACTTTTCCAGTTATGTTAAATGCTGGAAAAAGCCACCCCCGAGGCGCTTTAAGCGGTTCTCCTTGTTCTGGGCGTGTAACACCTTTTTACTACTAAATGGGCTATCCATTCCCCCTGTCTAGGATAGTGCTTGGGGTATGCTGCTTTGATGGTTTTATGTTAGTTTTTACGAGTTTGGAAGAGAAAGTTTTAGACTAGTTTTATGGGATAAGAATATTTATATCATTTATCGAATCTTTAAGGGAAAATTTATAAAGATTCTGTGTTTGTTCATATATTAATGGTAATTTATAATATTTAAGAATGTATATCGAGTGGAAAATGTCTTTTGTAATATATAGATCTCGATAATATTCCAAAATTTGTTTATTTTGAAATTAAAATATCGATAAAATATCGATTTTATTGAAAAACTATACAAATATTATACTTTTTGTTTGAATAATAGTTTAAACTCTGAATCGGCACATTTCATTATTATATATCGATCCTTTCTCCTATGCTTTGCTTTTAAGGGCTACCAAATTCAGCTGTCTAGATTGACATGGCTGTTGAACCTCTTGCAAAAATGTATGTACATGTATGCCTTTAGGTGTATTATTTTATACTTTAAACTTTTAGATATTATAAATAGAACCTAGAACCTAATTAAATAAAACAGTGGCGTTTTACATTTTAAACATTTGTATTATTTAAATAATTAAATAAATAGATATATAAATATAGAAAAAAAGTTGATTTATAATGAGCCACAAGCAAATTCTTAGGCCTTGGCAGGCACAGTGGTGCTAGCCTCGTTGGTGCCAGCCTCAGTGGTGCTACCCTCGGTGGTGCTGCCCTCAGAGGTGGTGGCCTCGGTGGCAATGACTCCAATGTTGCTGGCCCCGGTGGTGATCTCCGCAGTGGTGCTGTTTGTGGTGGTGCCGTTCAAGGCAGGCACAGTGGCATTCACCGGCACAGCCTGGGCTGGTATGGCCGGGAGTTGTTTATGCTGCAACTGTACACCCTTGGGTCCAGCGGCAGCCAAGGCCACCAAAGCGAGCAAACCAATCAGGATTAGGAAACGCATTTTTCTTGATTTTTCTTGAAGTTGCTGGTGTGCTTGGTTTGAAGGAAACTCAAAGTGTGATGCCATTTTCCCGGCTACCTGCCTAATTTATAGTTTACAATATTTTCTACTGGCCAGAGAATTTCCCGTGAAAAGCTGGAAAAAGCCGACGAGCAGCTGTTGCTAGGTATCTATGAGATAAGAAATGTCTGTTCTTAGGTAAAACCTAAGCCAGACCCACGCAAAGAGAGCCTGACTCATTTACTTTGGTCTGCGTCATTGTGAAACAGCTGCTTTTGATTTGCTGTTGGTTTTTGTGTATAATATAACTTCGTTTTTGTCTTGATTATGATTGTTTTTTTACTAAGTTTTCAGGGAAATTACTGTCATTAGAAGAGACGTCATTGAGTTACGCAAGTGGCTAGGCTTTTCTGAGAATCTAAATATGGCTTTTAGCTCGGCTATAAATGTGTTTTTGCTGAACTTGAACCAATATGTATTTAGCCAAGTAATTAGTAAATATTTAAATACTTTTTTGGATAAACAAAGAAGGGAACTTGGATAAACTTAAATAATTGAAATAAAGGGGAATTACGGGATTTAATAAGACGCCGATTTTTCCAAGACATAATAAATTTAAAGTATTTTCTCTTATTTATAAATATTATTTTATAATTACTATTATATTTCCCCTTATTTACATAATATTTGTAGAACATTTCTACAACAAAATCCACCCAATACAGGATACTCTTTTAGTCGTTAAGCCTCGGTCCTTAGCCCCAGTCTGTAACCTTGTTTTCCGTGCCGTGAAATTATTTTCACACGAAGCATTTTAGAATATTCCTAGCCGCCGGCGCCATAGAGAGTGGAGTGCCATGTAAATATGGCTCTCCTCAGACTCTCCCCCTGCCACCAGCCACCTCATTTCCATCCGGAACTGAGCCGGGGATGACATGAAGCGGCTTGTGCGCATTTCGGGCTCAGCTTTTGTGGAGCTCACGCGGCGTATACTTAACCAGGGCGGCGGCGCTTCTGCCTGCATTCACTTTGCGTCGCTTAATCGGCAGAAAAAGCAGAAAAAAATCAGGAAAAAAGAAAAATGAAAAGCTGAAAGCATCGAAAAAAAATCCAAGCTGAGTTGCATGCAATATTTATGATTATTTTTTCAATTTCACTTCGATCCACAGCGGCTTCTATGGCCTTGGTAAAATTTCATTTGCTGCATTTCAGCGACGCTTTGCTCATCCTGCAGCCAACTGGAGGGAGGTCCTGCTCCTGCTTATGCTCCTGTTCCTGCTGGCGGAAGCCAGGATGTGTTTTCCTTTCAATTTGTGCAACTAAAATGCATGCGGAAGGTAGGGCAGGCTGACTTGAGTTGAGTTAAGTTCGGGCAGCACAACTTCCTGCTGGATGCACAGGAAAATAATATAGTTTTAGCCCGAGTTTCCTTTCAAAAGTTTGGCTTAATATAGTTGCATTTTCTGGTATATATAATCGCACGATTTAAGGGGCAAGTGTGGCCTTGAAAATGGGTTAAAAAAATGCGATATACTTTCTCCGGAGATTGCTTCAATAATTCTTTAGTGTTTTTTCATAAGCAATTTCGTTTCTCTCTCTGGGCAACTAATTCCATGTAAGGATAATATGATTTTCCCCCTGTTCTTTTCATGGCTCCTTTTCCTGCTTTCCCCCACCTTTACCCTGTGGTTCCTCAACAGAGATTACATTTGCTACTTTGGTATTTTCTGCGTGTGTGCTGTGTGTTTTCTGTACTTCTGCAACTGCTTTCATTTTTCAAAAGCGCGAATTTAGTCTGCCAGGCCAGCCATGTGTGTGT